CGACGCGCTGTATAGCGACATTTTCCAGAAGCTACAGGCTGGCTGGTCCATGGGAGAGGTCCGAGCGGTGAACACCCCCGTGGGCGTATCGCCCTTGAGCCTGGAGCTGCGCTTGGCGGCCTGGACTGCCGACTCCGACCGAGAGGCGGCGATCATGATCGACGACCAGCAGGTGGTCGCCCGAGAGTGGTGGCGCTGGGTGCGGTACGCTGTGGGCGCCCACTACTGCCACCTCGATAGCTTCGACGCGCGTCTATTTGGGGTCGTGCTGGAACGCAACATCAACATCATCGCTTATTCGGTACCCCCCTTTCTCCCCGCCTTCCTTGTGGCCCAATAATGCGAATTCATTCCATTTCGCTGACATTGAGTCTTTACAGCAGATTAGCACGGCGTCTGCTGCGAGGACAGGCGCCCCGTTCTATTTCCAGAACGTGGGGTACCACGCTAATCTGTTCTTTCCTCGTCTCTGGCGACGCTTCATCTCCTGGGTATGCGCCGTTCTCTCACTCCCTCTCCCTCTCTCCCTCTCTCCCTCTTACACAAGCAACCTTTCCTTGTAGTCACGACACCCCCCGGCTCACCACTCTGCGCCTATCGACAGGTGAGAGAGTGGAAGGCAGGTCAACCTCAGAATCCGTACCCTGAGCTTGCTGCCCTCAACTATGCTCACATTCATCACTATGCGAGCCAGTCCGCTGCGAGGAATGAAGACCTGCGCAACCGCTGGTACGTCTGGTGGCTCGCGTACACAGCAGAACTCGGTACCGCTCTTGAGCTCCAACGCGCACGTGCACGCACACGCACACGCAGACAAGGTGGACTTATGTGGTGGGTTTCTAGGAATTGTCGCCCTCCATCCGCCTGCCGAAGTGGTCCTGGTTCAGTCGCAACTGGCGCCGGTTTCAAAGTCCAATTCGAAGTCCAAGCCCAAGCCACGTGCGGACCTGACAACCGACCTTTCGTTCCTCGACACGCGTCGCTCGCCGCTTTCTCCGATAGGTCAACTCTACAAATATCGCACCACTGGTACGTGGTTTCATGCCCCTCGCTCGTTCTCAGAAGAGTTGAGGACAGTGTTGGAAACACACCGAGAGAAACTAACCACCACCACCACTTGTCTATTGATGGTACAAGATTTGCGGGGTATCTCTTGGCACAGCCCGCTGCATCTTGAGGGGATCCTGAACCACACGACGACCCTCTTCAATTCGCCAGCTGACAATCGCTTCGTCGTCAGTCTTTAGGCCACCGGACATCTATTATTTATGTACCCTCCCCCTTGCAGCGCGCAACACGATGTGTTTTGCTGTGCGTCGGAGGGGCACCGCCAGAACCCTTTCCAGGAAAGCCGTTGTTTTTGGATCCAAAGATGGTGACTGTCTCTGGTTTATAGCTCCGATGCGTTTTTGAAGTGAAGCTCGAGGCGCAAAGAGCGGAAGCGATGGAAGGGGGGAGGAACACCGGAGGAAGAGCTGCTTGGCAGAGTGCCCGGCCCACACCACGCGCCCGACCCACACCGCGCGTATCGTCTTTGTCTGCTCGCGGCTCTTCGGCAGTAGCGCCTGCTGCTGATCCCTACACCACCAACGAGCTCTTCGTCCCCGAAGGTGACAGAAAAAAGGAGCAATCTCTTGCCCGGCAGAAACGAAAGATGGAGAAGATGGAGGCGAAGAAGACCCCCCCCAGCAGCCCCCTTGCCCTCCTGCCGGACACCCCGAGGAGCGGTCCTTCGGCTCCACAAACCCAAATGAGCAGCAGGGAAATGGTGCGGGAAAAGGTCAACCGCATCAAGGAGAAGGCTGCGGCCCAAAAAGCAGAACGAGCCAGGAAGAAGGAAGAGGAGGAGGTCGTGGTGAGCTGCTATGTAGGGATGCCCAGCGTGCCAGACGACAACGAAAGTGAGGATAGTGCTGGCGACGAAGATGAAGAGGACGAGGAAAGCGGTCAAAAGCTGTCAGCCAAAGGCAATGAGCACAAGCGCAAGGACGAGGAGGAAGAGGCTGAGCTTGATGGCAGGTATGCTGCTGACGACGCAGTGGCCGACATCTACAGCTCCACGGTGGATACGCCCGCCTCTTCGTATGGCCCCTCGCCCTACGAGAGCTTCAATCGCGGCGCCGGTGAAGGGTACCGACCACTCCCACCCCCACCCCCAAACAGTCGGAGCGTGTGGGCTGAGTGCGCTCGCTCTTCAAATTTATATATTTTCTGCAGGCAGTCGGTCTACTACGCCGACGCGGTGGACGAAGAGCTGGCCAGGGACGAACACGAAGTGAGTACGTGGTCTCTCTTTCTTCCCTCGTACATTTGGGTTACGGCCCTTCTTGCCAGGACAGGAATGAAGAGGCCTGTAGATCTGATCACTCAGAGTGCACCGATTCTGCGTTGTGGTGGGCCACAGATTCGATCTACGCCGGT